AAGACATTCGTATTTTTTTTTGTTTTCTTTCAGGGGAAAATGCTCAGATTTAATCTTTAAATAGAATTAATTAGTTTTCTTTTCTGTCAGCAGTTTTAGAAGGGGCTGCATTTTCATAAATTAAAGCAGAAATTTCAGTTTCAAACTGATAGTTGTTTGTTGTTTCAAAACGTTATTTTCTGGAAACAAAAACCAACATTGAGCCCTAAAATGAATGTAGTAATAATAATAATAATAATAATAACCACTGTATTTTGTTGCACACGATCAGATAGAAGAACAAGTCACGATTTGACTGAATTACGGCTTGGCAGTGAAGACCCATAAATGTATTGATCAGTTTAGTAACAACTGTGTTATTGATGGTGGAATGAAAACATGGTCTGTCTTATTTTACTTTTTGGGTCGAGCAGCTGAGTGAAGTTTTTCGTGTCTGGCAGGTGAATTTTATTTCAATAAACTGGTTGCAGAAAATAAAAAAACAAACTTTGGTGTTTACATGAGCCAATCAGAACAGACATTGGAACACCATTTAGCATTAATCAGGCAGTATATCATTTAATTAATGGATGATTTATGTTATGTTACACAACTGTTTGTTGACTACTACAGTTAGAATGGTAGATCTTCAGCGTGGTTTTCAGTTCAGGGATTTAGAGTTCATCACAGCACAGAGACAGCACTGGTTAAAGTTAATAATGACTTTTTGATTGCTTTTGACAATGGACTTGTCTCTGTACTTGCTATTTTATTAGATCTTAGTGCTGCCGCCATTTGACACCATTGACCGATTATATTCTATTACAGAGACTTGAGCATCTAATTGGCATTAAAGAACCCGCACTAACTGGGTTTTAAGTCATACGTTCTCCAGTTTGCTTACATGTTAACAATGAATCTTCCATAAAATACTTACAGTTAGTCATGGGAGTTCCACAAGGCTTCTTTACTTGGACCAATTCTATTTCTTCACTTTATATATGCCTCCCTTAGGCAACATTATTAGGAATCACTCCATTAAAGCTCCAGTGTGTAACATTACTGTGATCTAATATTCATGGGTATGCTTTCATTAGTGTACAAACAGTTCAAAATAATCATTTTAATCTACAGAGGGAGGGGTCCTCTTCTATTAAGTCTGCCATGTTTCCTCAGTAGCCCAGAACGGACAAACCAAACACTGGATCTAGATAGGAACTTTCATGTTTTTCGCTTGTTTCTTGGCCATTGTAGTTTCCCCTTCGTGCTTGAAAGGGGAGGGTGAAGTGAGGAAGTTGTAATCTGCAACTACAGAGCTTGATGGCACTGAATCCTACACATCCTCTCCCTCTGAAGGATTTAACTAGAGATGCTTCAGTTTATCATTTCTTTAATTTGTCTGAAAATATAAACAAACATATGAAAATACATGTGACAAAATACTGCAGAGGTCTCTTTAAATACTATAAATATTTAAATGAGCCATTTCAAATAACATCAGTTAACTTGACCTAATTTTATATGTTTATTGACAGCAGGCGTGAAGGTAAAGACAGAATGAATAAAGTTGGTAGTCCATGTTTGAGTCTTCTTTTCTTCATTTTGGTGCGACAAGCTGTAAAGAGCTTGTTACTGCCCCCCTGAGGCTGGAGAGCAGAAAACACACAGTATAGTTATTGAGTTGATGTTTTTCTGCCACTGGAGGCAGCACTGAGCCTATTTTTCCTTAAAACAAACTGAACTTTATGTTTCAATGTTACAACAGACAGACTTAAAAACAAATGTTCATCACATTTGCAGCTTTCCTATAAACTACTAGTCATTTCACAGGTAAACACAGGTGACCATAATGAGTCACCATGAATCATCAGTTCAGTTCAATTTGTTATCAACGTGTTCTGGAGTTTTAGTTCTCAAAGGTGTTTGAAGTGAGGTTCAAGTAGTTACCCTCAGACAGTGCTGTGGTATATAGTGGTTGTAATCGGTCAGTGCTACATTCACCGTGGAATTGTCCTCCGGTGCCGGAGCACCCGTATGGTTGCCGTAGTGTTCTGGGTCAGAAGGTGGGTCACCTGGTCCAGACTGAGACAGGCCACCTTCTCCCCGTTTACTTCCAGGATCTCATCTCCAACCTCCAGCAGGCCAGCGTACAACTTCTCAGTGCTGCTGTCCACCATGTCCTCCACATATACACCTACAGTACACATTATCATACTGTTAGTACACTGTCAGGGATCCATCTTTGGTCTCTTTATCTGATACTATTGATCTGCTGTTAATTTACCCCAAATCAATATCCACATGTATGTAATGTGTCTCACTCTCAATGCGTCTCACTCTCTACAACAGTCAGGGCGTCCTCTACCTTTAATGATTAGTAGTAGTATTAGTTGTATTAACAGTACTATTTGTAGTATCTGTAGTACCAGAGTCGGGGCGTCCTCTCCCTCTGCTGATTATGAATCCATACAGTCGGTTCTTCAGTTGACCGACCTCCAACAGAAACGTTCCATCAGAACAAACCTGAAGAACTCGACCAACAGAACGGACTGAAGACGGACGACCAACATCCTCGAGACTGAGACACCGATGCAGGAACCTGACAGACAGACAGACAGAGAGTACTGAAGCTGTGATCGACTGATGTGGGAACAGATTATTAAATCAGAAACTGGTGTGTTACTGCTCAGCAGCTGGTCTGTAGTCAGCTGAACGATCCTTCTTCTTCTTCTGTTCTGACACGAAAATCTGAACTGATGGTGACTTTCTCAACTGCAAGAAAGGTGACCCCTGCTGACGAAGAAGAAGAAGAAGACAGAGGAGAAGATAAAGAAAAGGAGTGACCTCTGTTGGACAGACACTGAAGTTAATGCTAAAAACTGATAGCTGATGATCTTCTCACCACACTGAGCGACTGAACAGACAGGGTTTTCTTCAGCAGACCGGAGGACTTCCTGCGACACAAGAGGTCGGGGTCAGATTCAGAGGGGTCAGATGCTGAGGAGTCAGGGCGTGAGCTGAGGCGGTCAAGGCTGCTGGTCCGACTCCTGCTCAGTCTGACGGTGGAGAAAAGATGTCGCAGCGAAAGACGAGAGGATTGATTTCTTCTGAAGCTGAAACAGAGAGGATTATTGATAACTGATGGTAAAGATACTTTATCAGTCAACTGTAGTTCAATGTAGCTGGTCAGCTGTTGGATCAGGACTTTCAGCAGAGGTTATACACTCACTGTTTAGGAAGTGAGGCATCATCACTGTGAAGTTCTGCTGTCATTGGCTGTATGATCTGTCCATCACTGCTGCTGTCTGGTGTGGGTGGGGCTTGGCACTCTGCTTTAAACCAATCAGAATGATATGTGTAATGTAAAGTGTCAGTGAGGTCAGCTGATGAACGCTGAAGAAGAAGAAGAAGAAGAAGCTAATGGTCTCACCTGTTAAATCTGAGGTCCTCAGTGAGGAGGAGGAGTTCTTTGTCCTGAGATCCAGACTTCGTTCCACCACACAGGGGCTCCTCTCCTTCAGCTCTGCCCGAGATCGGAGCTCTCTGTGGGACTCCTCCTGGTTCTGGTTCAGGTTCTTCCCTGCCTTTGTACCATTGAGCCTGATCTGTGACATCATTGCTGATGTCACAGGAGGAGACAAGAAGGAGGGGCATTTGGAGATGGGCGGGATTAGATCTGAGGGCTGAGTAGGAGTGGTCAGCTGGTTGGGGGCGTAGGGGTTGATTGGCAGGTCTGTGTTGGGCGTGGCCTGAGGGGGGGTCACCTGGTTTTCATTACGTTCCACCTGATTGGTCCTCTTCCTCACCTGGTTGTTCATGACACATCGATCCCCACCCCCTCCACCACTGGTCTCACCAGCTGTGATGGAGCCGATGTAGGTCTCTCTGATTGGCTCAGTCCACAGGTTGAGGCTGGGCTTGTATAGACTCCGGCCCCAGTCTTCAGGTATACGTGGTTGTAGACGGAGGTTCAGGTTGATTTCACCTCCTAAAACTGTCCCACAGGAGTCACACTGATCCACCCTTCCTGCTGGCATCAGTTCTGTCTGCTGTCTCTCAACAACAGGCCGCACCCCCTTCATCCCTGCCCTGCCGTTGACGTACAGGTTCAGGTCTGGTTTAGAGAGCAGGACACCTGTCCCTCGATGCCCCACCCGTCTTCTTTGTCGCTCCAGGTAACGAGACTCTGCCTCAGTCTCTGTCTCATCTTCGAATCGGAGACGACGAGATGGAGACGCTGCCGGGGGGCGTCTTCTTGTTGAGCCAACAGCCAATTTGCTGCTGGACGAGTCACTCAGATGTCCCGATAAAGAGGCCATGCCCTCCGACCTCACCTGGACAGGATGTAACCTGACCCCCGACCTGTGAGCAGACCACAGTTAGAGGGAGCCAGAGTCCAGCAGAACTGGGATCATACTTTTACTAAAATGTACAGTCAGGATGTTAGTTATGTCCCTGTTGACGTGCTACGGTAAGCGT